GCTTCCTTTCCTGAGCTCGCTGGGGTAGCAGCAGAATCGGCTGCACGTTGCAGCCTTCTTTGAGAACTCTATACGTATCTTACACATGTTTCACGCTCACGACCGGTACGAAAGTTTCGTCGCGACGGCTAGTACCGGCGGTTAGTCATGGTTTCATGCTCTGAACCGGAAGAAGCTTTTTCTCGAGGAAGCTCCCGCCGGTGCCTCCTTAGCTAGCGCTAAACCCGCCGCTAATTCAGGCTCCACCGCTTCCTGATCGCTCATATCCGAACTCTGGTCGCTTCCGTCCGTCGGCGCGTCTTCCCATTGCTCCTCCTCCTCTCCGTCGTCCTCTTCGTCTGACGAGGTATCGACCTGCATGAGTTGCTTCTGCTTCTGCTGCTTCTGGGCCTGCTTCTCATTCTTCGCACCCTTGCCTTCCTCCCACAGCCCGGGAAACGCGGAGAGTGGCACGCTCTTGTAAACTAGACGACCGACGTAAAAGTAGAGCCGATTGCCGCAAGTCGCGCCGACCTGTGCGGTGTCGACCGGGACCCACGCCATCATGTAGAAGACTTTAATTCCAGTGACTTGCCGAATCCAACCGTGTTCGACCACTCCGCTTATGTGCTGATCGTAGTGCACGTTATAGCCGTCAATCACGGCGTCGATCGGACGCTTGAGATCGATCGAGAAAGGTCCTGTGATCGCGCCGTCGCAATGCGCGACCTCGTGCGCGGGGAGGAGCTCCGAGGGGAAGCCATTGGCCTGCGGAAGAGAAAAGCGGAAAATAAGGATGCGTCGGAAAAGCAGACCTTCTGTTGGACGAGAAGTGAGAGTGGATTGGGAAAGTGTGTGTCACGGGGCGAAAGAGAGGCGTCGAAGGTGGATCAAGGGAAAACTCACCTCGAGAATCTGCGTCGGAAGCTCTCCAGGCGCGTTCGCGTTGTAAGAGCAACCGGAACACGTGCAGTACGATGCAGTCATTGTGACGGTGGAGGGTAGCTGGGAAGCTGAGTGGATGGGAGATTGCTGAACGACGAGAATGAAGAGAATGTGGTTGGGGTGTGAAGGTCCTGGACAACGATCGACGCCGTATGGTGCGACACGGAGATCGCAACTTATCAAGTAAGCGTGCACTGAGAATGAGGAAGAGGAGCTAATGTAAGTCGGAGAGCAGCGCTGTCTACTCTGGTTTGAAGAAACTTGGCAAGGTTGGGTTGCTTGTGAGTGAGGAGACGCGAGTATTTGGAATGATTTTGCGACACGGAAGAGTCGAGCCAGCCCCACGCATGATGGGAACCGTGGGGCGGAGTGACGGGTAAGGGAGCCCGACAGACAGGGGGGGCGGGAGAGAGGAAGGTGGGGGGCCCGGAGGGAGGGCTGCGCACAGCTGGTGAGGGATTCGGGGGGAGAGCGTTGCGGTTGCGGGGAATGGGGGGGAATTGAGTGGGAGAAGGGGGAGCTTGTTTCGTGGGTTGCGGGGAACGCAAGCCAATCAGAAAAGTCTCTCATTCCAGCTGTTTCCAGCTTTCCACAAGGTTGGTCGATGCGTTTTTCTAACGCGCTTCGAGTCTGGATTTGCGCACTTAGGCCCTCCATCTCTCCTGCCCAACCGCATGTGGTGCACCTGCGTTATTTGATTGGTTGGTGTCGTACGCGGAGGTCTTTCCAACTCGGTCATGACAAACCGTCGAGGGGACAAGCTGGCTTGGATGTTGGTGGTGTACTACGATGGTGGTCTGGCACCACAAAGGTCCATGTCGTTGAGCGCCATTTTATGCGCTGATGAAGAAGGAAAACACACGGAAGCCCAACATAGGGCGTTAGTATTATGCATTATGACCATATCACTGCAAATTGGTCCAAAAAAATTTACTCTGAAATTGCCCCTTCAAAAACACTAGTTCCGCATCAAACGTGCTGTGGAAAACCTGTGATCCTGGCAAGTGCGGTCTGACCGGCAGACAACTAGCCCACAGAAGAAATATAATTCGGCAGCCTACAACAAGCCTAGGTCCTGAAAACAAGCTTAGGTCGGGATGGGAAACGCCTAGAAGAAATTTCATGCAGTCGCTGATTTTCTACAGAAGAAAATGAACTATAGACAGCATTGCACAAAATTTGGTGCTAAATCTCGAGTTTATGAACTCAAGCGGTGAAGTGACAAAGAAAAATGGAGACCACGACAAAGGAGTGATACCTGATTGGCTGGCTTCAGGTGTAGGCAGACCACCTCCGAACGCAAGAATGTGGCGAGCCGCAAGCACGATGTGCAGTAAGTTGTTGAGGCTGTTTATGGGTGGGAGGGAGCTTATCCCCATGACTAGGGCTTCACTATGTTGACGTTCATCCAAAGTTAGCCATTATTCATCATAACGACTAATACCACACTCAGCCATGTTAGAACACTAAAAACTGTAATGCCTCAAACTAGTCTAAATGGTAATACATACAATTCAATGGTAATAATGAGTTTCGGTCGCCCAATAGTGCACCGTAGCTCACTTAATCTTGTACATGTCAGGCTCGAAATGTGTAGGCTTTGACGGCTTACCCATCTCAATCCCACAGTAAGCAAAGACGAAGAGGACTGTGAAGCCAATATAATATTCAGACTGCACAGTTGGGAGGAAATGGAATGATGAAAGTGGAATAAGAGATAAAATTTTACCGGACAGAAGTGGAATCGAAATGCACAGGATAATGCAAAAACTTACCGGGAGGCCAAATGCAACACCAGCGAAGAATGCTGGAAGAAACGCCCATGCAAGTCCCTCTGCAAGTAATAAAAAACGAAGAGAATTGAAAAGTACATATTAATCAGAGTGAACAAAAGGAACAAAATTAAGCCTGAAGGAAACACGAAGTACAACAATTAGAGTCCACAGCCCTGTGCTGTGCCATTGCATGAAGAGCGTCATCTCATAAGCCATCCCAAGCCCTCAAAACCACCCACAAATGCACCACCCATTGTACCCCCTTTCCTCCCCCCTCCCCCGTTCCTTCTCCCCAACCCCCTCCCCCCCTCCCCCCCCCGTCTCCCCTCCTTTTACGTCCCACACAGAACCCAACCCTCCCTTTCCTCTCTTTTCCCGCGTTCCTAACGAACTTTGTTCAGTTGAAACAGGGCCACCGGCCTCCTTGAGGGAGGCGTCGACATTACTCCAGAACTCGCCTGAAAAAAATCGAGCGCATAGAAAGACCATCGGATAGAAACAAAAGGCAGATGGAAGTTCGAAGTATGTCGAAAAGTATAGGAAAACAAAGGGAACCGACAATCAGAGAGGGTTGCTACTCAGCTAAGGGGGCAAACAAGAGAGGAAAACCGAGAAACCGCAAAGAAGCTGGGAATGACTTAAACAGAAAGAGGCGAATGTAAAATTGCTTCTGAAAGCAGAGAAATCGGTGGCCTTGGCTGTCCACAGCACTGAGTGGTGCGCCATTGATTGTGCACATGTTAGCATCAACGTACCATCATCGCCCTCGTGGTAAGAATGAGCACCATCCACCTTGCCGTACTTGAAGCTTCCATCCTGTACGTCGGATGAAGAAACGATAGTCAACAGTTAACACGACAGAATGGCATTAGAAGCGAGAGTTGTAAATGCAGGTTTCTGTTTCGGTGTTTCGGTTTGCAAACGCGCTCTACTGAGTAAAACCGTGAAGGAAGGTTGGTTGCAATAAACCTAACTCTGCTCTAAAAGCTACAGTTCCGCACAACTTGAGCAGTTCTGCATTATCAGATCACCATGAACTGGAACATGGATACTATCTAAGCACGTGTGAACACTGTTGCAGGCTGCATCTAACGTCCTGACTTTCTTCGGCTGTTGTTCTACCAGATATAGGTAAGCCTAATTCCTACTTCGCAGATAACAACTTTGAATGTACGAAAAGGCGCACCTGCTGACTCTCCTCGCCAGCAGTTAGCCATGCCGCCCGTGACTCCTCGCTCAGGTCCGGCTCAACACCCCCAGCATTGCCAGCCATGGCGACGATTTGCACCCTGGACGCCGTCGCCTTCTGACGGAAACCAGACGGCCGAGTTGTGAAAGCCACGATGTTGCGTTGAATGGTGGATTTGGCATCCTGGATCAACGCAAGAGAGGAAATGCCGGTGCCGGCGAGTAGCGATGTGCAAGACGCCATGGCTACGGTGGCTGATAGGCACCACAAGCGTATGTTCTTCCTAAAAAAACACGGTACGAAGGATCTGCTAGGCGGGTGATGTTTGGCTCTATGACAGACTGTGACGAAGTCGACCTGTATTCGTCGCAGCATGTGGTAACTCTCGCTTAGGGTATGGATGCCCTCAAACACACCCTTAGGCCGAAGTGTGTCGGGGAAGATCCTCCGTCGCGGGTGACTTGCAACGAAAAAGGGATGGTGGTGGTGCGTGGGTTATCCGACGTGGCAATCACAGCGACACAGCTGGAGGCGTCCTTCTCAAGGGTAAATCAAATACACCCGAAATACAGGGGAAGTGCGTGTGTCCGAAATACGATATATAACTCTTTACGTGGAGGAGCTGTACATGAAACCAAATGAAAATGTTGGTGAGGGAATTCTCTTTAGCGGCAATCCCATCTCACGCATCCTTCAACAACGCAACTGGTCAGCGGATAGGGCCCCGGATAGCGTGGAAAACTTGAAATTTCTCGAGCAACCAGCAGCCGCCAGCTGGACACCTCGGTGTTCCCCAACGCGCGCTCTGACCCCCACCTCACCCAACCACAGCGCCACGCAATTCGCGCAATTCTCTGAGGCGGATTGCCATCCCACTTCTGAAGTAGGAGCTCCATACCCGCTAAGAACATTTGTGCTCTTTTGCCTGCTGGAGTTTATCAGTTGCGCCAGAACCCTTCTTCAGGATTCTGTTGCTCGTAGCTCCTTGACTACCATTTCAGTGCAGTTTCATCTCAGCTCTAGAGCTTGCAAGCTCTAGTTCTGCAAGGATCGCCAGCATCGGTGGCCATTAGACACTCGGATACTTGTAATTCATTCTGAAATCAGAAGCTATGGCCACCTCATTGGTCAAGACTCAGGCCACGTTCCTTGGCTCTGTACGATCCGCCGAATTTGATGGGTTGAGGAAGACCACGACGTCGCAAAATGTCGCAGCCGTCGCCCCTAAGAAGGCTCAACGGTCTAGCGTCGTCAAGGCCGTCGCTTCGACAGATGTGAAGACAGCCATCGTCAGGATTGGAACCCGTGGCAGGTGTGAATTAGTAAATGCCAGCGATTTGTACAATTTATATTAACCGACCTTCGTTCAGACTTGTTGAATGGCGTATCTACCCGCCTCTCCCCTCGATGCCATCTGCATTAACTCCGTTAGAATGCACTGGGCAGTTTTCGCCACAAGCGCTGAGTATGTTCCTTTTGCTCCCTTGCCAGTCCTCTGGCCCTTGCACAGGCCTACCAGACCCGTGACAAGCTCAAGGCTGCTTACCCGGAGCTGGCCGAGGAGGGTGCTGTGGAAATCGTGATCATCAAGACCACCGGCGATAAGATCCTGAACCAGCCTCTCGCCGACATTGGCGGAAAGGGTCTGTTCACCAAGGAGGTCGACGATGCTCTTCTGGGCGGAGCGGTCGACATTGCCGTACACTCCATGAAGGATGTGCCAACATACCTTCCGGAGGGGACTATCCTCCCTTGTAATCTTCCGCGTGAGGATGTGCGAGATGCGTTCATCTCTCTCACCGCCAAGTCCCTGGCTGAGCTTCCTGCTGGCAGCGTTATTGGCAGTGCATCCCTCCGCCGGCAGTCGCAAATCCTCCATCGCTACCCCAGCATGAAGGTACGTCGCATTTTACTGATTTAATTCTCCACCACGTATAGATATAGTGCAATTTGCCTGGTGTGGTTCTACTCCAGTCTTCTAGAGTAGGTCAAGTGATGGAGAAAATGTGCTTGTGAATCTATTTAATTTACCCCCCTGCAGGTGGTGAATTTCCGCGGTAACGTGCAAACCCGTCTGCGGAAGCTGAACGAAGGGGCTGTTCAAGCCACTCTGCTGGCCCTGGCTGGTCTGAAGAGGTTGAACATGACCGAGCACGTGACTGCCATCCTTTCCACAGAAGACATGCTTCCAGCCATCGCTCAGGGCGCCATTGGCATCGCCTGCCGCACTGGCGACACCAAAATGGTATGTCCTCGCATTCAATCGCTAAGCATGAGGGGCCCTGCCTATGTTGGATGGGGTAGCGCCTGGCGTAGGGAATGAACAAATGACTTGAAGGCTAGCTTGAGGGAGAAAATTGAGTAGAGAACGAAGTATACTAGTTTGTGGTTTGACGTTTCCTGGCCATAGGTTAACACAGCACTGTTGTGAATATCCTTTCTGGCAGGAGGAATACCTGGCTACCCTGAACCACGAGGACACGCGCTTGGCTGTGTGTTGTGAGCGTGCCTTCCTTACTACGCTGGATGGCTCATGCCGCACGCCCATTGCTGGTCTGGCGCAGCGCGATGCCAATGGCGGCTGCTCCTTCCGGGGTCTTGTCGCCTCGCCTGACGGCAAGAGAAGTGAGCACTTCTTACTCTTGCCTTGTTCGACTGCTTCAATCTATCTCTGGTTTAACTTCTCCTCCCCACCTCCATTATGCCTCTCTTGCTCTCATACACTGCAGTGTCCCGTATTTTCCACTTTGCATTCCGCCGCTCAATTCATTCATTGCTGTATGTCCTGTCACTGCTCCTCCCACACTCGTACATCCTCCTTCGTGGAGCATTCATTAACGACGGTTGCACTAAACAAATGTTTGTGTCTTCTTTCCTTCCCTATTTTTGCCCATTCAGTCCTTGAGACATCGAGGTCGGGATCTTACAGCTACAATGAAATGATGGAGATGGGTATTGATGCTGGCAAGGAGTTGCTCTCTTCTGCTGGACCAGAGTTCTTCAACTGGAGCTAGATGTCTTTTCATGGAATCCGTATGGTCAAACAGTCAATGCCAGGACGGCCACTTATTTTTGCCTGTGCTAGTATATTGCTTCCTTGATGTATTGCCTGAAAGATCCACAATTTTCCACTTCAGAATAACAGGGCGCGCACACTATTGCACATCCATGCTCATGATTGCTCTTGGTTTACCAGCAATGCAGTCTCTAATGACGCTGATAGAGCGGAAAGAATGCGTGGGCTGTTCAAGGGAGGCAGAAAGCCACTGTAAGCAATCATGGTGGCCATTAGAGCAGCTGATCCAGCCAGTAAAAACTGTCCATTCTTAACACTGGGGATTGCTTTAGTCAGTGCAGGTAGGGCTGGAATCATGGAAGTGAGGAAACTTGTCAGGGTGGTTAAAATCTCAGCATCACTGCCTTCGTCACCAGCAACCATATATTGCAATGCCACTGGTAACGCACTTGTAATTGCCCGAAATGAGGAGGCCAAGTCAAATGACGTGATGTTTGACAACACAGGTTTCTGCCTGGGATCTTCTGGGTCGTGGCTCACTGTTAGGTTCATCTCCCCTCGTGCATAGAAGTTAAAAGATATAGCAAGGGACGAGTAGAGGCTTGGGTCCGCCAAGAGCAATGCGTCTGGGAGTAGTATGGACGGTAGAAGTTGTGCAGCTTGTGAAGGTAGCATGATTCCACCTGCGAAATCATCCTCTTGACCTGTCTCCAGACGAACAATAAATCCTGCAAGCGCGGAATCGGCGAATGTTGGTGGTCAGCCCTGTGGAACTGAATTGCACACACTAGCAAAGTAGTTACGTACTTGTCGGATTGGCTTGTAGAGCTTCAATACTCGCAATAGTTAGAGGAACGACTCCAGCAAAGGCAAGGCCTGTTGGATTTGACGCCACGAAAGTGCTGTTTACAAGGTAAGATGCAATAGCTTCGCCTTCTTCGCCCTGAATAACGGCGCGACCTGGAACGCTGGAGATTTTATAAAAGCATATGATGAGGAATCAAGATTGCATGGCATCTCGTAGAATAGACTGGGCCAAATTCTTACACTCTAGAAGGCAGGTCGGAGATGAACATAGTCATGGAGCTCATGTTAGGGTCGACGAGTAGAAACGCAACTCCATGTTTCTCATCTTCGACACTCAAGCTGGTGTTGCCATTGAGACTCGTCTCAGCTCCAGACTTCAGGAGTGCAATGCGCAATATCTTTTGCCTCCAATTCGTGTTGGCATTCAAACGGCGGAGCGAAAGGGAATCACACTTATGAATTGCAGAGCTAGTGGTGTTATTGCCAAGCAAAAGGACGCTCAGGAAAAGGACGAAGAGCGGTCGTTTAGCCACTGACAAGGTCCACATTGCCACGATGAATTGTTGAACTGGGACCTAGATAGACAACGACTTCCGTCGCTTTCATACCCCATTGTGAAATGCTGGAACGGCGACCAGCTAGGACGTTCAGCGGCGAAACCGAGATTGGGGAAGGGAAACCGAGAGCTGGAAGGGAACCGAAGTTGTGATGGTGAATCCGTGACGACCAAGAAAAAAAGGAGAGCTGTCAGAATGGGGTACAGCTGGTTGAACAGCAAGGAAAGTGGTGGAGCCATCGACCCACATTTAAGCTGATGCGTTTCGAGCCAGATAAAACGTGCACTTGTAAACTACACTTTTGAAACCATACAAAACAGTGAGTTCAAATTGTGCGGAACACAACAGCAAACCAGTTTGGCCAGCACTGCCTTTTCTATCCTTGCAAGAGTTCGGCATCTGCAAGAATTTTGACAACAGCAGACATCACTTGGCTTGAATCATCTGCATCTTCAACATTCTGTCAACACATGGAAAACAATACGAAAACGGTTCCATTCACAATAAATCCTAGACGATTATGTGATGTTGACCATCCGAGGACTTCATACAAAATCTTGCAAGTACGGTCATACTCACCTGCGACTGAAGGATATACCGGCGAAGGATAGTGTCAAACGATCCTCGAATGGCTTTGAAAAGAACAGCAGTCTGAGCCGGAGCAACAAGGTCCAACCAACCATCCACTGACACTCGCGCTCTCTGCTCGAGCTCAACAAGGACACAAGCAGGAGAAAAAACAGCATAACTGGTGAGATGAGTGGGAAATCTACGTGGAAAACAACACCGTATCACATGCCACAATGGAAAAGATGAAGTATGAGTCAACATCACAAGGAGTGGCGTGGAAAATGCCCGTTACCTGATGGTGGACTGTGATTGGTCCGCCAAAAAGAAGGATCGCTGGTGGAGAAACAACGGTGCAGTCGCGGATGTACACTCGAGATGTCTTGACCTGCAAGCATGATAAACAGCTAATTCGGTGGTTAACATCAGAAGATAGTCAAAAGAATCATCCTTTGTGCTGTACCTTTGTAACATGTTGTTACCTTTTCATGAAAGACAAGGAAGGGAGCGCGGAAGACCGAGACAGCTTCGTTGACTGAAGAGGGGTGAATTGCCACCTCAGCTCCTGTCGCAGTGACCCACCGCGGCCGCCCGGACGCCCCTGCCACGTGTGCGAGGTCTGACGCGTGTGAACAGTGCGCGGCTTCGATAGAGTCACGTGCCATCATTGCAACGTTGGGGTAGAGGCCTGCACAGAGAACAGCCTGGGGATTTGAGTGTGAGGGGGAGGGAGGGGGGTTTGTCTAAGGAAGAAAGGTGGGTGGAGAAGGACGGGGTGCAGGTGAAGAAATGAGAAGGAAAGGGTGCTTCACGAATAACAGACAGGAAGGAAGAGAGAAGAGGAGCGAGGAACAGGAGGTACGAAAGTGACCAACTTGCCTCCACCCTTCTTTCTGGAACGGTTGTTTGTTGTACCCAGGTGCTACTTACCTTAACAGCAGGAGCACTCATAGAGCATCGGTTCCAGGGCTGGGTGGACTCATCCAGCCAATCAAGTCCCTGCACGTGGCATCAGGGAGGAAAAGGCAAAGCGTAGAATTAAGAAAGGCATGGGCTAGTGTGTGAGGAGCGTGGCTTCCTGGGATGCCTTAGAAAACCGATATCCATGAGCAGGCGAGCAAACTGCACACAGAAACTGCAATTTCATCTCAAGCATCGCCTGTGAAATCAACAGGCAAGCTTACCCTGCTCACAGGGGCGCCACCGGACCCAGGTGCCTTGCTGGGCTGCCTCAGGAAGCCGATGTCCATGAGCAGGCGAGCAAACTGCACCCTCATGTCTCTGGGTGTGGGGGTGAGATGGGAGAGAGGAGAAGAGTTTTGAGGAGCTTAGAAAACGACAAGAATGGAGGGAAACCTGTAAGACGATCAACATACAAAAACAGTGGACAGTCCAGCTGCAAGAGTGCAGTTTAGTGCCAAGAGCACCCACCGCAGCATGAGCAGAGCAGGAATGCTGAGGTGATGTTTCTGACAGAACTCCCTCGCTGCCCTGCTGCCCCTCTGTTGCTCCATTGGACACACACATGGGAGAGAGTGGGGTGGAGAAGAGGAGCGAGAGACGAATGAAGGAGAGGGAAAATTAGTGAGGGATAAGTGCTTACATTATTGAGGGATAAGTGCTAAAATTAGTGAGAGATAAGTGCTAAAATTAGTGAGGGATAAGTGCTAAAAATATTGAGGGATAAGTGCTAAAATTAGTGAGGGATAAGTGCTAGAATCTGTGAGGGATAAGTGTTAAAATTAGTGAGGGATAAGTGCATGTCGCAGAACAATCTGCCTGCCATGCCGATGCCCTTTGACACTCTCTGACGCTCACTCATTCTCTCCCACACCCTGTAACAAACGGAACATCAAATGAAACATAAGAACGTGTTTTGAGTCGACTCAAAACTCCGATGCCCCATCATTCTTTCTCATGCCTTGTTACAAACTCCATCGGTGCTCAAGTTCCCGATCTGATGTTCAAGACTTAATCGACACTGACCAACAGAGTTGAGCCGGCCGGCTCTGATTTACGTCAACTCTGGCTACGTCAGGTGTGGGATTTGAGTCTCGGGCTGGAAGCGTTTTTTCCACTGCTATACGTCGCCCCACAAGGCACAGCCACTGGAGGTGCTGCTTCCTTAAGGGATTGGGCTGTCACCCTTTCTTCACAAGGCACAGCCGAATCCCTAAAAGAAACAACACGCCCAGAGGTTGCGCCCTGTAAGGCGACGTATAGCAGAGGAAAAAACGCTTCCAGCCCGAGACTCAAATCCCACACCTGACGTAGCCAGAATTGACGTAAATCAGAGCCGGCCGGCTCAACTCTGTCAATCGGTGTCTATTCAACCTTGAACGTTAGATTGGGAACTTGAGCACCAAGTGCCGTGACGCGCAGATTCCACCGACCCCATCCACCCACATGTAGAGACAGCAGACCCATCTGGACAGCCAGCACCCGCGTGGAATGAGACGACTTTGAAACTACTCAAGAGCCACCACCAAAAGGAAAGCCAGCACACCCACCTGAAGAGCCAGCACCCAGCCGTTGAAGGCTGAGGCCATCGCGAGATGGTCGGACTGCTGCCCCCGTGCCATGTTCCATGCCCTGTCGTCCCCACTCGCACCTGCTCCTCCCTCTCCCTTCCCCCCTGCAGTCTCTGTTTCTACCTTTGACTCCCAGCCCCCTTCATCCTCCTCCTCCTCATCCTCACTATCGCCATCATCCCAGCTCCCCTTCTCTCCCTGCCTGCCTCCTGCTGCTTCCTGTGAGCTTGCATCGGGGTTGGCCTCTCGAGCTTTGGCCACGAGTGCTTGCCTTGCCCTGGCAGCTGCTTTGCGCTGACAAAACACAACAGAAAATCAAAGCAGAAAGGAGGAGATAGGGAGAGAAGGGCAGCGAGGAGGAGAATGGCAGGCAGGTGGGCGGGCAGTGGGGTTAAGTGGGTGGGAGAGGAGCGGAGAGGTGTGGAGTAGAATGGAACGGAGTGAAAGAACCTTGAACTAGACTTGAAAATACTCAAGAGAACTCACATCGCGGAACGAGGAGGAGAAGGGGGAGCGGTAACTGAGGCAGGCAGCAATGGTGAGCGCCGTGCTGAGACACCCCATGACTGCGCCGTAGATCATCATCTGCCACGGTGGGGTGCGGTGAAATGCGGTATGGTGTGGTGGGGTGGGATTGGGTGCCGTGGGGTGGGGTGCAGTGGGGTGCGGTGAGATGGGATGGGGTGGAAGCACAGTCACATGTAAGAATCACAGGGGTGGGGAGCGGTAGCTGAGGCAGGCAGCAATGGTGAGAGTCGTGCTGAGACACCCCATGACCGCCCCGTAGGTCATCATCTGCCAGAGTGGGGTGCAGTGGGATGTGGTACTACGCGGTGGAATGGGGTGGGGTGGGGTAGCAGCATATTGTCAGAGGTGCCACGCCTCAGAACTGCCCGAATGATCACCCAACCACATGCGTTCACTCGCCTTGCCTATGCAAACGTCAAACGGCAGAGCAGCCAGGTGTGTACCCAGTGCTGTGAGCTCCTCCCTCTCATCCAACGCCCGCATTTCATGTCACCGTTACACCCGCATTCACTCCCTTGGCGCACACTCACTCACCTTGCCTACTCGCACGTCGACAGGCAGGGCAGCCAGGTGTGTGTAGAGTGCAGCTAGCTCATAGTCAGCCCAAAGTCGCATCACTCTAACCCCACACACTCACTCACTCACCTTGCCTATTCGCACGTCGACAGGCAGGGCAGCCAGGTGTGTGTCGAGTGCAGCTAGCTCATAGTCAGCCCAAAGTCGCATCACTCTAACTCCACACACTCACTCACTCACCTTGCCTATTCGCACGTCGACAGGCAGGGCAGCCAGGTGTGTGTCGAGTGCAGCTAGCTCATAGTCAGCCCAAAGTCGCATCACTCTAACCCCACACACTCACTCACTCACCTTGCCTATTCGCACGTCGACAGGCAGGGCAGCCAGGTGTGTACCAAGCGCTGTGAGATCCTCCCTCTCGTCCACCGCCCCCACCTCCCTCAGAGTCTTCATTGCACTCCTCACCGCCTCCTCCTTTGGCGGCTCTATGGCCTGCAGCAGACATGGGTGGTTGGGATAAGCCATTCCAGAGTAAATATCCTCAAAACTCCCTGCTCTCCTCCCTCTCGTCCACCCCCCCCACCTCCCTCAGGGTCTTCATCGCACTTCTCACCACCTCCTCCTTAGGCGGCTCAATTGCCTGCAGTGCAGCACAGATGGGTGGTGTGTGGAAAAGAATGCTAGTTCTGATGCACTTAAGAGTTTGGCTCTCTAGCTAACAGCCAAGATTGGGTGGTGGACATGCCGGGGTCCAGCAAATTCATCTGCAGGCAGAGTTTTAAAAGTCTCCAACTTTTAGCTGAGCATCGGCCAGAGACATTCAGGTGTGACATCACCTTGCTGAGGAATTGTGCAGGCGTGCCCAGGTCCAGCAACTTGATCTGCAGGCACAGCTCCACCAGAGGCACTCGCTGGATCTCCGGTTGCTGTTGGGGGAGAGGGCGAGGAGAGAAGACAAGGGTGAGGGGAGAGAAGGGAAACAGTGAGAAGCATAGGGATGAGACTCAGCAGCTTGATCTGCAAGCACAGCTCCACCAGCGGCACTTGCTGGATTTCCGGTTGCTGTTTGGGGAGATGACAGGTACGCGGGGAGGTGAGGAAAGAAGGGCACGCATCGGGCGATGAGAAAGGTGAGGGGAGAAGTAAGGGGAAAAGGGGCCGGTTAGCTTTGAATAGCTGCATGTTTACTTTTAGATTGCGTTCTAGAAGGCGGGTGAAAAGAGGGAATGAAGTACCTGCCTGCACACCCTTCCTCTGCTCCACCAACCCCCCACCCACCAGCCCCTCCCCTCCTCCCATTCACGAAACAGCAAGGCTGTTCCCCTACTATGCCCCATGCCCCATGCCCCAAGCCCCATGCCCCATGTCCCATGCCCCATCCCCCATGCCCCATCCCCCATGCCCCATGCCCCATGCCCTATCCCACCTGGAACGGCCGCATGATGATTTCAAAGCGGTGGCGGATAAAGAGGGCAAAGTACCGCCCTGCCTAAACTCGCCCTGCCACACCCACGAAGAGCCACTGCTCTCACCCACTGGGTTCCATTCTGGGACGGGACCTTAAAGCCCACCTGGAAGGGCCGCATGATGGTTTCAAAGCGGTGGCGGGTGAAGAGGGCAAAGTACCGGCCTGCCTGCACTCGCCCCGCCCTGCCCGCCCTCTGCCTCACGTTGGCCTTGGCCACCCATGCTTCCACCAGACTGGTCATGCCCTGTGGTAGTGGGATGGGAAAGCGTGCAGCAGTGGGAGGAGAGAGAGTAGCACATTGCAAAGAAGTGGTAGTCGGAAGGAGAGTGGGGGCAGAGTGAGCGGAGGGAGCGTGATGGGAGAGGGAAGAGTCGCACGTTGAAAGAAAGGGCCCTTTCTTTAAGTGCTTCGAGTAGCCCTCTGCCTCAAATCCTTCGGAAAACGGGTGCAACTTAGGGTTAAATGTATGGTCCAGTGACAGAACAGGACTGTTTTTTAGCATTAAGAGAGTCCTATCCTAATACTTCATCCACTCACCCTCCTAGCATCAAACCGCCCTGCTTCTGCTTGCCTACATCGACAACACCGACCACAGCGATCACACCGATCACACCCACCACACCACGTCAAAAAATTGTGATACCCGAAGGGACATCAGAATAGAACCATAAGATCAACACTGAGACACCTCAGAACTCACCCTCCTGGCATCGAACTGCGTCTCCTTCTGCTTGCCCACGTCCACCACATACACCACATCGTCAATGGTGATGCTCGTTTCCGCTATGTTGGTCGCCAGTACAACCTGGCAAGGGGGCGAAGAGGTGAGCAGACAGTGGGGTGGGAAGGGGACGGTGGGAAGGGAAGGGAGGAAGCATCACAGGTTAGGCAAGGCAAGCAAGCACACAACAACATACCCTAGACCCTACACAACACACCCTACATGCACCACAAACGTCGTCAATGGCGATACTTGTCTCTGCTATGTTGGTCACCAGTACCACCTGGGGTCCATACTTTCGATGAAGGAACATAAAGCATCAGACTTACCTTGCGCACGCCACTGGGAGGGCTGTTAAACGCTTGCCGCTGCTCAGCAGCAGAGACAGACGAGTGCAGCGGCAGCAGCCACTCCACCTTCCCCGGCGCCCCAAACTGCCTCGAGGCTGCCAGCCTGTCCCACAGGTACTGGATCTCGCCCATGCCCTGATGAGGGGTAGATAAATGGGATGTTTATACAGATGGGATTCAAAGGTGACCACGTGTGACCAAGTGCGACCAAGTGCGATCAAGTGTGACCGCGTGTGACCGCGTGTGACCAAGTGTGACCACGTGTGACCAAGTGTGACCAAGTGTGACCAAGTGTGACCAAGTGCAACCAAGTGCGACCGTGCGACCAAGTGCGACCACGTGTTGACCAAGTGTGACCACGTGTGACCAAGAGTGACCAAGTGTGACCAAGTGTGACCAAGTGTGACCAAGGATGGCTCCTGGGCCGCATGTGGAGTCGGCACTCCACACTATGAGGGAACAGAACAACGATAAGAGGAGCAACACTCGGAAGGCACTCACAGGGGAGGGAGCTCACAGGCAGAAAGACGAGGATGGCTCCTGGGCTGCATGTGGCGTCGATGTGAGCAACCACGTCCTCCAGTAGCTCGTAGTCTATCGTTCCCTCGTCCACCCGCCGCTGGTGTTGTTTTGTAGAGAGAGCGGGTGTTGGGGAGGGACACAGGGTGCGGAGTGTGAGTGGAGCATGGAGTGCATGACAGGGAAAAGGAAAGAAAGGAGGGAGCAGGGATGGAGGCACGTGAGGTTCCACTGCTACAAGGATGTGGTGGTGGTGAGTGGAAGCACGTCAGGTGCTTCCATCCCTGCTCCCTACTTTCTTTCCTTTTCTCACTGAGAATTGAACCGAGAGTAAATCCTACAATCAGCTCTACAGAAGCAGCTCTGTTTCTGAAAGCGCCTCAGAATCGGAAGCACGAGACCTTGCTGAGAATTGCACCAGAAATTATTATTATCTGGTCACCAGATTTTTCCGGGTGCTGTCGCTGTAGTCGCTGTATCGCGAGGCATCGTAATCCGGATTCACTGTTTCAGCCTGCAGGGAAGCATCATCGCCCCATCCTGCCTTCAGCAGTTTCTGCTTGGTCTTGCTACCGCCTCCCGCTGCTGCCTTGGAGCCCTGTGGTGTGGGCGTGGGAGTGCGTGGGAGGGCGTGGGAGGGCGTGGCACAAGCAGGGCGCAACAAGGGGTTTTCAGCGGAACTTAAGGGGTCTTCTGATGAGAATGCTCCTCATCAATCAGATCCGATTGCATGGAACATCGCCTCATCTCTACCCGGGGAGGCTCACCCTATCTAGACGATTTTTTAGGCGCCTTAAAATCCGCGAGAATGGAGTCGTTTCTTTAGGCGCCTCAAAGATTGCATTAAACATCATCTCGTCTCTACTCTACCAGGGGACGCTCACCCCTATCTAGCCTTCACACTGCACATGACAACTGTACCTTGGCTCGGGACTGATGGGATTCCGATCTGAGAGCAGCTGGAGAGTCGGAAGAGAGCTTGTAGCCCGTGCTCTCATACACGTCCTCGAGATACTTCATCTCCACAGGAAACGTGCGGCCCTGGGCTTGAATGACCGGGCAGCCAGTGAAGTAAGAGGCGAAGAGAGACGCGTCCAGAGTGGCTGACCTGAGGGGGAGTGAGAGAGAGAGGTTTGGGAGGGAGAGACAGAGGGAGTGAGGAGGAGAGGGACGTGCGGCCCTGGGCTTGAATGACCGCGAAGTAAGAGGCGGAGAGAGACGCGTCCAGAGTGGCTGACATGAAAATAGAAGAGAAGTGGAAGGAGAAAGGAGGGAGGGACGGAGGGAGGGAGGAAAGAGAGGGAGATTGGCAATGGAGCTTGGTTGATGGGGCAGCCGGAGAAGTAGGAGGCGAAGAGAGAAGCACGCAGAGTGGCTGACCTGCCTGCCTGCCTGCTTGGAACTCACATGAGAACCAGTTTGAAGGAGGGGAGGTGCGGCATCTGTCGTCTCATCTGCTGGCGGCGGGCCAGCAGGTCTCTGAGGATGACGAGGAGGAAGCCCCCCTGGATGGAGGGAAGAGGGACCACCAGCATGCACGCACCAGCAGCCTACCCAACCACCAAACACTCACATGAGCACAAGCTTAAACGCAGGGAGGTGTGGCATCTGTCGTCTCATATGTTGGCGGCGGGCCAGCAGGTCTCTGAGAATGACGAGGAGGAAGTCGCCCTGGATGAATCCCCAGCACCCCACCAGCATGGACCCACCCACCCACTCACACACCCACCCACCTTCCCGCCTGCCTGCCTGCGACTCACATGAGCACAAGCTTGAACGCAGGGAGGTGCGGCATCTCCCGTCTCATCTGCTGGCGGCGGGCCAGCAGGTCTCTGAGAATGACGAGGAGGAAGTCCCCCTGGATGGAGCGCTCATGCACCTCGTCCACCACCACGTGCGTCACGTCTGACAGCAGAGGGTCGCCCACCAGTCGCCTCAATAAGATTCCCGTGGTGCAGAAGAGAATGCGCGTGTACCAAGTTCTGGGACGGCAAAGGGGCAGAGAAGACACACAAAAAAACGAGGAGGATGGGACAGAAATGACGAGATTATAGAAGATGGTTCTCTGTGTCTCCCTGGTCCCCCACTCATTCCCCCCCTGATGGAGCGCTCATGCACCTCGTCCACCACCACGTGCGTCACGTCTGACAGCAGAGGGTCACCCACTTGCCTTCGCAATGGTAATGGTAATGGTAATGGTAATGATAATGATAATGGTAATGGTAATAATAATGGTAGTGCTAATGGTAATGGTACTAGTAATGGTAGTGATAATGGTAATGGTATTGGTAATGGTAGTGGTAATGGTAATAGTAGTGGTAATGGTAATGATAATGGTAATAGTATTCGTAATGGTAGTGATAATGGTAATGGTAATGGTAATGATAGTGGTAGTAGTAATGGTAATGGTAATGGTAGTGGTAATGGTAACGGTAATGATAATGATAATGATAGTGGTAATGGTAATGGTAATGGTAATGGTAATGATAGCGGTAGTGGTAATGGTAATGGTTATGGTAATGGTAATGGTAATGGTAATGGTAATAGTAATGGTAATGATAGTGGTAGTGGTAGTGGTAATGGTAATGGTAGTGGTGCGGCATGACGCGCCTCATCTGTTGGCGGCGGGCCAGCAGGTCTTTGAGGATGACGAGGAGGAAGTCGCCATGTTCTCGTCTGTGGTGGTACTTGAGGTTTTGGGAAGAGAAAGGGGCAGAGAACGCAAAAGCGAAACGAGGAAAATGGGGGGCTCACACCGCTAGTATGCCATGCCAATTCTTCACTAACAATGATTCACATGCAAATGACCCCACTCACTTGACAGCATCCAGCCGCACATGGTAACCAACCACGCCTGCAGCACCACCACCTGGTGACTACTGAGTGGGACTGATTATTTGGCAGCGTGTACTCCCAGTAGACGCCAAGACAAAGCACACAGACCCCACTCACTTGACAGCGTCCAGCCGCACATGGTAACCAACCACGCCTGCAGGACCTCCTCCCCTGCTGCCACTCCCAACAGGCGGCTCGCACCGCTCTGCTGCCACTCGCTCTGCCACCGATATGGCCTGGGAGAGGGTGCAAGAGACGGGGAGAGAGGGTGAGGAGTGGGATGCGGGGAAGGAAACAAAAGAAGTTTTTTCTTGATTTCCCAGGAACCCTCATCAACTCACAGCAATTCGTCGAGGCTGCGTGCACACGATATTGCAGAACCCCGCCTTCCCGGAAGCTTCCGCATCCTCAAAGATATACTGGGGCACCTGGGTGGTCTTGCCCGACCCGGTCTCCCCGCTCACCACCACCACATCTCCCTCCCTCAGCGCCTGCACCACCTCCTCCCTCACTGCTGCCATCGGTAGCTCTCCTCGCTTCCTCTTCATCTCCTGCATCGCCCTCCTCTCACTCGCCTCCATTGCCTCTCTGTTGGTTCCTCCTGTTCCTCCTGTTCCTCCTGCCCCTCCTGCCCCTCTTGCTCCTCCAACTGCCAAGGCCTGCCACTGGCGCCACCGCTGCTGCAGCTCCCGGCTCTGAGCCTCCCTCCTGCGCACCACAGTGGGGCCTGGGAGGAGGTGGTGGAGGGGGGAGACGATCAGGAAAGAGGAAGAAACAAAGTGACCTTTTTGAGTTGCCGCGGCCTCCAGGCTCTGAGCCTCCCTCCTGAGAAACACTGCAGGGCCTGGGGGGAGAGAAGGGAAAGAGAGTGGGGTGAGAGAACAGGAGAGAGGGGAGAAAAGTGACTCCCGTGAGCCGCTTCGCTCAGAGCCTCCCTCCTGCGCACCACTGCAGGGCCTGGGAGAAGAAAGAGGGGAGATGGGAGACAGAGAGAGAGAGTAGGCTATCGGATTTGAGGACTATATGTGGGCCAAAGACTCAATCTGTGAGAAGCTAAGGTGGAAACAACGCTCAATCACCTTCATCTTGCCCAAGGAAAGGAATTTTCTGCTTCTTCTGCCCTCCTCCCGTCGCATTCCCATCTTCAGCACCTCTGGGTGCACTCTCCTCTACATCATCAGCAGCAGAAGAACCACCAGCCACACCAGCAGCAGTACCAGCAGCAGCAGCAGCAGTCTCCCTGGCCCTAATCTCTTTATCCACGAGTGCTGCAGCGAACTTGACTTGGTGCCTCGCTGCTGCCTCTGCTGCTGCGGCTGCGCTGCTGCTGCTCGTCTCTGCAGCATCTGGGGGAGCACACCGGGCGTCAGTCGTGGGAGAAGCAAAGAGAATTTGAGTCGATGCAAGAGGAAACCATAGGGGAGAGCCAAATGAAGAATGGCCAGAAGAACCATGGCGTCTTGTGCTGTCACCTCAAGACACAGACTGTAAGATTTCTCAAAATAGATTTACCTGCTTTCTCTGCCAGCCCCAGCCACTGCTCTCGGTAAGGAGAGACCAGCTGATGGTGCAGCGGCATGTGGGGCAGGAGGGCGTGCAGTGCCAAGAGCGCCACTACATTCTGTGCCTCTGACACACTCTCAAACCCATCCTCTGATGCCGTCGCTCACAACAGGTTCGCCTGCTTTCTCTGCTAGTACCAGCCACTGCTCGCGGTACGGAGAGACCAGCTGATGATGCAGCGGCATGTGGGGCAGGAGGGCGTGCAATGCCAGCAGGGCCACCGCATTCTGTGCATCTGACACACTCTCAAACCCATCCTCTGCTACCTCGTATCACGACTCACCTGCTTTCTCTGCCAGTTCCAGCCACTGCTCTCGGTAAGGGGAGACAAGCTGATGGTGCAGAGGCATGTGGGGCAGCAGGGCGTGCATTGCCAGAAGCGCCACTGCGTTTTGAGCCTCTGACACACTCTCAAACCCATCCTCTGCTGCGGAAACCTGAAACGTGATTGGCCCTACCCCCACTCCCCCTCCCTTCCCCCCTCCCGCTCCTCCTCCCTTACCCCCTCCTCCCCTCCCCCCCTGCCGTACCACAGTCACCGAGTAGCTAAACTTCCCTGCGCCGCTGCTTCCTGGAAGCTTCGTGAACTTGGGAGCGGGCCAGAGGGCTTTAAGGCAGTGCTGCTGCAGCAGAGCCTTGGGCTGCCGTTGCATGTCCGCAGCAGAAGCATCCTTCCCCTTCTTATCCTTCCCTCCTGCCTTTGCATTCCCCCTGCCACCCGCCAACATCTGCTGCTGCTGCTGCTGCCATGCTCTCTCCCTCGCACTCTTCCTCTGCAGTGCCAACACAGACTCAGGCAATGCTGCTGCTGCGCCTCTTCCACCTTCCCCTACCCCTCCCCCGTCACTCTCGTCATCAAAGAGAGACATCCCATCCAATCCCACATCCTCCTCTTCTGCCTCCTTTTCTGCTGACTTCCCTGTTGCCACTGCCCCTGCCCCTCCCCCTTCTCCAACTGCTGTTTTCCCTTCCCTCGCTACTTTCCCCTCTCCACCAGCCCCCTCCTCTTCCTCTTCCTCGTCCTCTTCCCCAAACAGCCCGAAACCCCCCTCCTCTTCCTCGTTCTCCTCCTCTCCTGGACCAATCTGCTGCTGCTGCTGGTGGCTCGCCTCTTCGAGCATCGAATCAGAATAACCTGCAGACGAATAAGAAAAGCACATTGATGGCCTTTGAGTCTCTTCAAAAAGGCTCTCCAAGGATGCACTCGGAGTAACCAGCTGCACCTTTGAGAACCGCCCTCAGCAACAGCAATGCCCAACATACCATACGCTGCAGCCTCCTCCTTGATCTCGCGGATCACCAGCCCTGCCTCTGCCTGCCTGCCCTTGTCCATGCTCCCTTGCCTTTTGTGACATGTCAAAAGTCGCAGACGAACTGGAAGTCACACCTACGCGTATACAGTGGCAATGCATGAGACATACCGTACGCTGCAGCTTCCTCCTTGATCTCGCGGATCAGCAGGCCTGCCTCTGCTTGCCTGCCCTTGTCCATGCACCCTTTCGCCCTCGCCGCCTCGCCCTTGGCCCTCCCCAGATCAGCCGCCAAGGATTGCACGCGCTGCTCTGCAGGGGCCTGGGGTGAGGGAGAGACGGGGTTGCAGGGGCGATTGGAAGGTTGGGCCAAGGGGGTCCCTCTGTCTGTACTGCTTCCTCCTTAGCCCCCCCCAGATCAGGCCGCCTGCTGGGGCCTGGGGTGAGGGGGGTTTCGGGTTTAGCTCCAAGGTTTAAGGTTTGACTTGAGGTTCAGAGAAGAATGGCAGGGGGAGGGAGAGGGGCATCGGAATGCCTTTGGTGAGAGAAAACGGGAGGAAAGGGGAGGAAGAGCGGGGGGAGGGGGATGGGGGGGGAAGGGGGGGAGGCAGTGGGGGAAGGGGAAATAGGGAAAAAAATCAATACTTCTCGTTACAGAAGGGAGTGAGGGAGGATGACGGAGTGTAAAGACACCTGAGAGAACACCTGAAGGTCGAAGCCAATACCTTTTTCCTGAGCTCCTTTCTGCGTCTTCTCTCCCTTGCATCAGCCCAAACCTGCAAACAGAGCACAGCAGAGCAGTGCACACACAACAGCACCAAGTATAGCAATAAACATACTGCGTGACAGGCCAAGACAGGAACACTGTGCAAACAGCACGAATGCAGGTAACAGCTTAGAAACGAAGCAAGAAAGGACCCTTCCAAGCCTCACCTCCCAAAGAGGAGACCCCTTAAGCAAGTCGTTTCCTGCTGTCGATCCAGCTGAAGCCCCCTTATCCGCTACCTTCTCCCAGTCATCCTCCTCCTCTCCGTCCTCTCCCTCCTGCTCTTTCCCTTCACCCTCACTCTCCTCCTCCTCACTCTCGTACTCAGTCACATACCGTTTGATCCAATCCGCTTGCTTCTTCTTCCTCTCCTTCTCTCTCTCTTTCTCTTCTGCCTCCTCTTTCGCTTTCCTCTCTTCTTCCATCTTCCTGAATCTCTCAGCTTCTTCTGCTAACGACCGTCCCCCCCTTCCCCCGTCCTCATCTCCATCTCCTCCCCATGCGTCGTCGCCTCCTCGCTGTCCTTCCCCTTCCACGTCAGCAGCAGCCAGCACCACTTCCACGTCACCTCGTGCCAGCGTGGCAGTGGCAGCTGCAGACGCGAAGTGACGTGGCAGCTGCTGAGGTGCCAAGTGCAGGCAGAGCCAATCAAAAGCTGCTTCCAGGGAAAGCGAGGAGGGGACGAGTGACGAGAGCGCATTCTCCACCTGCTCTACAGTAAATCCCTCTCTAGAGAGTGTTTCGTATGCAGATAATATGCGCCTGTTGGCTGTCTTTTCTTCAAGTACCGTCATCAGATCAGCAGCGCTGTCTGTGGAATATGATGAGGACGCAGGAGAAGCATCCAAGGCGCTGCTGCCGTTCGCACCTTTCTTGGTATCGTATGCCTGAATGAATTCGTCAAACCGTGTCAAAAGATTGGGAAAGCTTCAGACTTCTGCGTCTCAAAAGGTGAAAACTGCTGCAACTGATCTCAGCCCTTTGTCGATCTCCACTCACCTTAACAACCAGCATCCGGAGCTGCTCTTCGGCCTCGGGACTCAACCGAACCTCCGTGGCTCGTTCGAACGCGTTCTTACCCAACCCTCCGCCAATGAGCGTCACTGGCTTGGCACTGCCACCTCCCTCCACCCTCGTCGGGCCAGCAGAGGAGACACCCGAAGGAGCTACAGCCCCAACTCTTTTTGATATGTCAGCCTTCCCGCCTTGTCCGCTGGGAGCAGGAACTGACTGCTTCCCAGTAACCCCCGGCGCTTTCCCTTGCGCCGCTCGACCCCCCCCGCGTCCGCCTCCCCCCCCTCCTCTTCCGCCACCTGCTGCGACTCTTCCCCTCCCCCTTCCCCCTCCACCTCCTTTCGGAGGCATCGCGACGGTATACCAGTAACTACAAGGTATGAAGTTATTTGTCCTCAGAAAGTCTGATTAGTGGCGATCGGGATGACAAAGGAGCTTCCGGACGTTAAGAAGGTCCGATCAAACGCTGCCCGTCGAACGTTTAACAGATGTTTTGAGTGTAATGACGATGAGGATCCTGAGTGTGTCCTATACGAAGACTAGGAGATTCATGAAGAACAACTCTAAAACGGAGAGGTAGTGCAATGAGAGGGTATTGGAGCCGAGAGGCTAATCCGACACTGACACAAAGAAGCTGAACTCTCAAACCCGAGGACCTTGCTAGACCCTGTAATTGGTCTCCTGCAGCTCTCTGATTACGGAGACAACCTACCACGAGAAGCTGTTGAAGCTAAGTCGGTCGAGAAACCAACCAGAAAGTCGTATGATTTTATTGGCTATCGAAGCAGCCGCAGGACACTATCCTTTGGCCTCGCCTCCTAAAATTCACTAGTCGTGCACTAGCCTTGCAGGAATTTTTGTGGTCTCTGATAGGCTCAGGGACGTGATCAAATTCTGACATTCTGAAACGTGAATTCACAGAACCGAATATTAAATGCTTCAAACGTTGAATAGACGTGAGGAAACATGCTGTACCGTTTGGTAAAAAAAAACTGGCATCCAGTCATCAGGATCCGTGAAAATGAATGCCAATTCAGGACGATTACATTATTATTGAGCATTTCAATAACAAGATGTACGACAACACTGCAATCTGCTCTGACAGCCCTGTCAGAGATCAATCTAGTCAGCCACAGAAGCTGGCCCGCGAAGAGCTGTAACTTTTGCGACGATTTTAGCAACCGCATCATAGGGAATGACGATCGAACTTCACTCACGTGCAGACCATACTTGGGCATCAGCGAAAGTAGTGTCGCTTTCGCCAAAAAATTCTGCCAAATACCAGTGACGTGTATGGCTTTCCCAGAGAAATCCGGAGATCATTCATGAAAAGCGGGAACTTGCTCTTTCCCAAATTATTCATGGAAGGAAATAGGAAAGCAACTTACCTCTCCTCTCCGACATATCCGTCAGAGCTATTCCCAAGGCTCGTATTCCCTATGCTGTTGTTCACGATCCTCCTATTCCCAATGCTTGTATTCCTCCCAATGGACCAGATTCGATGCACAGTACCACGCATGTATCCTCGTCGTAGGATCGTCCACTAAAGCACGCGCGACCCACAAAACATAGTTTCCTACCATCATCATTTCTGGGCCATTCTGAAGCGCACACTCGCATCCACCTTTCGCGTTGGTTCTTCTGAAGCATTTCTCTTCTCCTCGACGATCACTCGACATTTTGGAGTAATCATGATGTATCCAAATCCATATTACTTGCTTTTGCTCGTCCTGCTCCTCTCGATCCTCGCCTCGCTAAAGGCGGATCCGCTAGCGTCACTGACGTCCTACTCCTCCACGGACAACAACATCATTAATATAATTCCGCGTTCGACCAATGTAGCTGCACCTATGGGGCCCACATTATGGAACCTTCTGGATCTGCATAAAAATACTCCCTCATCCTCATCCTCCTCGTCTGTCGACGATCCGGATTTCGTCAGCACCGGTAATGATCTGCAATCACCAAAAACAGTCACGTCAGGACCCACATTGAGGAGCCTCCTATTTTTGCGCGGAAATTTTGTCAGCCAGGCCGGCAAGTCAGCAACCGCCACGTCGACCTCAAGCAGCGCCGGTACTGCCGATGGTGCTGCTAACGGTGGTTCTGCTAACGGTGGTGCTGTCGCTGCTGGTGCTGATACTGCCGAAGGTGACACTAAAGGGCGGAGGAGTGACGGGCTCGAGAATCAACCTGACAAAGCTTCAGAGGGCGGAACGCCAGAGGTAGTGGAGGAGGATGGGGAGGGGGAGGAGGAGACAGAGGGAGTCAGGAAGGAGGCGGAAAACGACAAGGTCGACACTGGAGAGGGGGTAGAGCAGGAGGGGGATGGGCCCGGGAAGGAGGCGGAAGAGGAAGGAGGTGAAGAGAATCCAGCAGAGGGGGGAGAAGAGGAGGAGGAATCTACGCCGCTGGCCGACACTCCTGAAAAGCTGGAAAGGTGGTTCAAATCTTGGCGGGAAAACACCAGCGCGGTTCTTTCACCAGGCTTTAAAGACGCCTCTACTATGGAGGTACTGGAGCTAGACGATTGGCCGCCCGTACCTGTGCCATTGCCGAACCTAGGGGTGGACGTTCGGGCGGATCCGAGCCTGGATCCGAACGCCTGGCGCCCGTTTCACGTTAAGGGCACACCGCGTATAATTACAGTGTTTTCAGCCGAATGCTCCACCTACATGGACTGGCAGTCAGTAGCAATGGCTTATAGCTTCAAACGGTCAGGCCAGCCAGGGAAGCTCGTGCGACTTCTGGCTTGTAACGAGGATGCTCTTAAGGGGTACAGAGGGCTAGATATTGCTCCGACAATGGTGGTCCCTAATTGGAGCCGCGGCCCTAGAACGGGTGACTGGTACCCTGCGATTAATAAGCCAGTGGGGGTGAAATATTGGCTGGACAACAGTCCTGACGCAAATGACGTCGAGTGGGTGCTTATAATGGACGCGGATCAGCTTATAAGGAGGCCGGTGCTGCCCTGGGAGCTGGGGGCGGAGCGAGGCCACCCAGTCTCAGCGAATTACGGGTGAGAGATGGTAACCATGTTACATGACGAACGGGACACACTGCAAGAACCGTTGTGCAAAATCGTTCCTCCTGTGGCTCCTCTTGACTCCTCCCAACTCCTCTTTGCTCCTCTTGGCCCCTCATGACTACTCTCTAGGCTCCTGAGTTTCCTTTCTTTTACCCCTCGCTTTACACTTCTCTCCCCCTCCCCCATCCCCCTACCAGGTACCTCAAGGGGTGTGACAACAGCTTCGGCGAGCTGCACATGAACAACGCCACTTCTCATCTCTCTCACTGGTTCCTTCTTTTACTTCTCGCTTAACGCTCCTTCTCTCTTCCCCCTCCCGCGCCACCCCACCAGCTACCTCAAGGGGTGTGACAACAGCTTTGGTGAGCTGCACATGAACAACGCCACGTATTGTGACAAGGTGAGCTCCTCCTCTTTCCCTCCTCTTTCCCTCCTCTTTCCCTTCTCTTTCCCTCCTCTTTCCCTCCTCTTTCCCTCCTCTTTCCCTGCTCTTTCCCTCCTCTTTCCCTCCTCTTTCCCTTCTCTTTCCCTCCTCTTTCCCTCGTCCTTCCCTCCTCTTTCCCTCCTCTTTCCCTTCTCTTTCCCTCCTCTTTCCCTCGTCCTTCCCTCCTCCTTCCCTCCTCTTTCCCTCCTCCTTCCCTCCTCCTTCCCTCATCTTTCCCTCCTCCTTCCCTCCTCTTTCCCTCCTCCTTCCCTCCTCTTTCCCTCCTCTTCCCTCTCTTTCTCTCCTCTTCCCACACCCAACCACGCGCACACACATTCTCGTTCTCCTACTTTTCTCTCTCTGTCCCACAACCCAGCCACACACCCACGCACAGGGGTGGGGGGTGGGGGCGCTACATTGTGATTCACGTGGATGCCTTGCAGCGCCTGGCGTGGCGCCCATCTGGAGCGCCAAGGGAGTGTAGAATGACAGACAGGATTGAATTATCACTTGCTCCCTCCGCACCCAACCGCACACAACCACACCTGCACACAGGTGGGCGGGTACATTGTGATTCACGTGGAGGACCTGAGGCGCCTGGCGCCCATCTGGAGCTCCAAAGGAGTGCCATTTCCTCTCTTGTCCCCTCACTTTCTCCCTTCACATCCAACCGCATGCAACCATACCCAACCTCTCCCAACCGCGCATAGGTGGGCAGGTACATAGTGATTCACGTGGAGGACCTGAGGCGCCTGGCGCCCATCTGGAGCTCCAAAGGAGTGCCATTTCCTCTCTTGTCCCCTCACTTTCTCCCTTCACATCCAACCGCATGCAACCACACCCAATCACTCCCAACCGCGCATAGGTGGGCGGGTACATAGTGATTCACGTGGAGGACCTGAGGCGCCTGGCGCCCATCTGGAGCGCCAAGAGCGAGGAGGTGCGGGCAGACGTGGAGCACTACACCATCAACGCCACGGGGGACGTTCACGGGCAGCGGTGGATTAGCGAGATGTACGGCTACTCCTTCGGGTCATCTGATGTGAGTCCTGGCATCTCATTTAGTATCACTACGTACATCTCTGTGTGTGGTTTGAACTACACTGTGAATGCCACGGGGGACATGCACGGCCAGTGGTGGATCAGCGAGAGTCTGACATCGCTATGGGCATCTTGTGTGGGTTTAAAGCTCATCATGATAGAAAGTGCAATGCTTTACCTGGGCCAACCGGCCTATCCTTGCCGTCACTTCATCCCGTCCCTCTCGTATCCACTGTCTCCCCTCCGCCTTCTTTCCCTCTCCCAGGTGGGCCTAAAGCACATTATGATAGACAGCGCCATGCTTTATCCAGGCTACGACCCTCCTAAAGGGGTCGATCCACGAATGATTCATTACGGGTTAGAGCTCAAGGTATTAGATTGGCAATGGGACAAATCGGCCTACTATCGCCAAGACATGGTCAACACCTGCGGGCAGCATTTCCCCGACCCGCCGGAAATTTCCGCGCTGCCCGGAAACCAGACGTACGAGGAGAGGCGGCGGGATTTTATCGTGATAGAGTGTATGGCGGTGCTGAACCGGGCTTTAAGGGAGTTTCACAGGTTGAAGAGGGGGTGTTTGGTGGAGTGGGAGAGGGATGTGGGGATAATGGATTTGGGTGGGGCCTCCCCTACAGTAACGGGCGAATTGAGGGCCAATGTCTGGGCTAGGGAGAGAGGGAGTGGGAAAGAGAGCGAAGGAGAGGGTGAGGGAGGGCGTCAGGGAGGGAGTGAGGGAGTGAGTGAGAAAGGGGTTGAGGGTGGAAGTGGGAGTGTGAGTGGGGGTGGGAAAGAGGGGGGCACTGTGAAAGGAGGGGCTAGAAAGGGGATTAGAGTGCAGGGTGACTATGTTGTGGATGTGACTGAAATGAAGGAACGAGCAGGGCTGGAAAGGGGTTTCCTAGTGGTGAGAGAACCGAGAGAGGGAGCACGATTTAGGAAATTAAGAGTGCGAGGTGGTGCTGGGGAGGAGGGGAATATTCCTTCCGATGAAGACAGTGTTGCCTATGCTGATTCAGCCACAAACGAGGATGAAGGTGGGGATGGGGAGGCGGGGGACGGAGAAGGAGAAGGAGACAGCAAAGGAGAGGGAGAGGAGGCGGAAGAGCAAGTTAATCCAGGAGAGGGAGAGGGTAGGGAGAATCCAGGTGAGCTTGGTAATGGTACTTTGGGAATCGGTCACCACGGTAACCATGGGAGTATGAACCGTGGGAATGAGTGGAGGCGGTTCTTACAAGGCTATGGCTACGTTGCAGGTGGTACTGGTGGTGGGGGTTCAAGGGCGGTGGCAGCAGGGGTGTGGGTGTGGATACACGAAGACCAGCGGTGGATGTACTTGGGGTGGTTTGCAGGTATGGTCTTACTGTTCATGGGTGTAACACTGCGGAATAAGAGGAAGCGGAGGGGTGCAAGGTCAACCAAAAATTATGTGTCAAGTGGAGACGATACGGAGGGGAACGCGAGGAAACCAAAACGCCGTGCTGGTGGACTGTCAAAGGATGTGCTTGTCTAATGGAGAATGGTTTGTAAATGGCTTGACGGACAATAAAAAGCAATGAATATTGTATGTGCTTCTGTTGGCGGATTCACATGTTAACACTGGTAAAATTCACACACCGCTTTTTGCCCACCACTTCCATAACCATAGCTCGTATAGCCTGTGTGTAGTGTTATGGCGCAATACTCTTTATCGAGATCAGCGAACGGGCTTAAAATTGCAGAAATCTGGCACATGGGTCCGCGTCGCGCAAAAGCCATATGGGTCGCATTGTGCGGTTCGATTTTTGCATTTCGTTTCAATGCAAGCACCCCTTCAAGCTTCCTCTCGTCGCATCGCATCCCCATCTCCCCTTACCCCCCCAACCCATGATCGAAACTGAATCCCACATTGCTCCTCACCTCATGCTTCCCACGTTCCAGAACTACCAGAGCAAGCAATCCCACGCCATACCCGTATCACGCTTCCCATCTCCCCTTCTCGATTCGCACGCACGCATCGGTACCGTACATAGTCCAGCTCAAAACGCCGACCAAAACTACGCCACCAGACTTACCTTATCACCGACCGGCGGCTATACCACCGACCAACCGCTATACTTGCCTTATCACGATGTACACGCGTGTGAGGCACCATGAGTGCTATAAAAGCCTAAACCTGAATGTTAATCAGTACCAACTCCAGTTCAACCATAAAAGAAGCTTCACTACCCAGACTTCTACCCGAAGTGTTGCGAGTTTTCCTGACGAACTATTCCTATCCAAGGCACCACCCCAATTTATCGCAGAGAATATATAAACTCTGTCAAAATATGGTTACATATTTTATATAATAGTTTGCAGTTGTAGTGTAGACATAGCATCATGTTTGGTGGTGCACCTCCTTGTGTTGCTGTTTGCCTATATGTACTTACCATTCTAGTGAAACATCATTCCTCTCGATATTTCTCCTAACTAAACTCACTCGAACCTCAACCACCAAGGCCCCTAAGCCCTGGCTCCTAAGCCCACCTCTTCCTAGTATTTTGACATGCTATCAGAGAGTGGTACGTTCCTGGCCTCTTGCTTCCGCTGCTACTGAGTGTACTGCACGCCCCGTGGTGTGCCCTACTGTCGCGGCCCCGCCGCCCTACTGTCGCGGCCTCGCCGCCTGTCTGCTGTCGCGGCCTCGCCGCCTGTCTGCTGTCGCGGCCCCGCCGCCCTACTGTCGCGGCCCCGCCGCCCTACTGTCGCGGCCCCGCCGCCCTACGTCACGGCCCCGCCGCCCTACTCTGCGGCCTCGCCGCCCTACTCCTTCGGCCCCGCCGCCCTACGTCGCGGCCTCGCCGCCCTTCACTGCGACCCCGCCGCCCTTCGCTGCGGCCCCGGCGCCCCTTGCTATGGCCCCGTCGCCCACCACGGCCCCGTCGCCTCCTGCGGCCCCATCGCCTCCTTCGGCCCCGTCACCACCCGCGGCCTCGATGCCACCTGCGGCCCCGCCCACTTGCGGCCCCGACCACGCCCCGGCCATGCCCTGTCGCCAGCCGCGGCACACCGGGGGCACGTGCACCGCTCACCGCGGCCCCCTCAGGTCGCCTCGACAGGTGACGGGAGGGGCGACCTGGAAGGGGGGGGCAGGCGTCGCCTCCTCTGCCGCCTGCTTTGGCGCCCGGGGAGGCCGTGCATAGGCCCCCCCCCCCCCTTCTCCTCCTCCTTCTGTTCCCTCTGCTGCAGCTGCCGCTGGGGGGGGAGGGTGTGAGGGTGTGGGGGAGCCCGGGGAGTGGCACTGGGGTGGCGGGTGTGAGACCACCCAGCCGCAGTCCCTCCACCTCTCCTCTCTTCCCCCCTCTGCTGCTCCTGCAGCAATGTGTGGGGAGGGGGAAGGGGAGGGGTAAGGGGAGGGGGAGGGTGAGGGGATGGAGTGGGTGACCAGCGTGGGCGGTTTACACTTACCAGAGTGGGCGTTTTACACTTACTCCTGCAATCAATTATGGGGGCGTGTCAAAATATGGTTACATATTTTATATAATAGTTTGCAGTTGTAGTGTAGACATAGCATCATGTTTGGTGGTGCACCTCCTTGTGTTGCTGTTTGCCTATATGTACTTGCCATTCTAGTGAAACATCATTCCTCTCGATATTTCTCCTAACTAAACTCACTCGAACCTCAACCACCAAGGCCCCTAAGCCCTGGCTCCTAAGCCCACCTCTTCCTAGTATTTTGACAAACTCGCAACCATGAGGCGCTCCAAGCTGTTCTTCGTCCTGCTCGCGCTCTCGTTGCTCGTATCGCTCGCGTTTGCGCCGCAGTGCTGCGCGAATGAGATCGACGCGGAAGACGACGCCGACGACGCCTTGTCGGAGGCCGCCATTCCCACCGACTCATCACCTCCTGGTTCGTTGGGTACTACAACATCGCGAAAAAGGGTTTGGCCAATTTTCGAGTTAAAGTCTCAGAGTTGCAGGAAAGTTGCACAAAAGCTGCAGAAAAGTATCTGAAAAACAACAACCCGAAATTGCATTTTACCCAAAATGCCACTAAGTCCCGCACACTGAGAAAGGTAGCCGGATGCCAGGCGGTTTGCGCTTCGGAACGTCCAAATTCCAGAGCGGCTCGGGAAATCTCGCACATTGGCAGACGCGGTTCGACGAAAAAGCACACCTTGGCACCGCATACAAGGAACACTCGCTTGTGTTTTGCGTTATGTGTTTGTACACTGCCGCGAGAACGATCCCCTTAGGGTTTGCAGCCTATCCCCAAACTACTAAACGCTAACCGACAAAGCAACACACGTGATACAGAAGTGCATTCTTTATTGAGTAGCAAACACAACACATGGAAATAATATCGCCCAATTCACAGCTCATGCAATCCGTACACACACATTAGCTGAAACATTGTGACGCCACCGTCTCATAGTTCTCCCTATGTTCAGCCCCCCCATACCACAATGATAAAGCATAGCCACCCTATAGCCCTAGACCAAGCGTACGACGCGCTCTTTGTCATCCTCCACTGGGAACAGCACCCCCGCCTTCCGGGATTGGCCTGCCTCATCTGACACGTCAGACGTGATCCCCTCATCACTAGAGCGGCCCGTCCGGTTGTGCTTAGTGGGCGTGCGTCGGAGGCGGCTCACCACCTCCTCATTCACCACTCTGGCCTCCTCTGGCACGTCGCGCGGTGGAATATCCAATGCCTCCGCCTGCTTCACGAAACCATCATAGACCATGCAGCTCACGCGGCGACAGCTACGGCTGTCTCGCATTAGCGGCCCCTCCGGAATGCAAAAATATGCCGGAATCTCATCCTCGGACTTGTCCTCCAAACCCCTCGCTGGCGCCCACTTCTCAATAAGGCCTTCGTCACACCCCACGAAATCCCACGCCGTCATAAACGTCGTGCTGCTGCACTTGCCTTTGAACTCTTCAATCACCAGCTGCAGACTCGTCAACTGCAGCACCAGACCGTCAAACATCCCTGCCGCAGCTTTCCCTTTCAAGATGTCTATTCGCGACAGCCAGCCCTTCGGCACGCTACCGGCCCGCCACCAACTCCTCTGGATTGTGCCCGGCATCGTCAACTTGCACGCCATGAACAGCTTGTACAGGACATCGTGCAGCGGCGGCCGTGGAAAAATGCCCGCACGGGTCCACTCCGTGCTCGTGATTGCCGTTCGCAGAAACCACGTCCGGAAAACTGCCTTCAATGTGTCCACAACACCATTTATTGGAGAAAACGCAGCAGCCGGCATCACGCCAAATGTCTGCACAACCTTCACCCGTGTCAACTCCTCCATGACAAACCCCTCCACCGTGCTTGTCCGTTTCACACACCCGGTGAGGGTGTGCGAAGGGTTGTGCACCAGCACCACCGCCTTCTCGTTCTTTGCATGCAACTCCCTGTTTAAATCGTCAACGGACTCAGTGAACAACTGCGCACACAACACGGCGGATGTCTGTGGTGACGACATGAGTACAGAACGACGGCCACCAAAATTGCACCTCATAAACAACGGCGATCAACCTACAAACCCCAGCTTTGAACCCGCTCACCTCGCTAGAAAAGCGCCCATTCTTGGCGTAGCGCACTTTCACATCATGATTCTTCTTGCGCCCCTCATGTACTGGCCTCTTGTCGTCCCGTCGTAGAACAACGATCGGCGGTTTGCGGACACATCCTGTCGCGTTGTACACAAAGCATACGGGCATGTGCCATTCCCGCGATAGCTGCTCACGCTCGTCCACAGACGTGCCTAACGGCACCCGTGTGGGGATTAACGGAAACTCCGTGAAAGTGAACACCTTTTCGGGCGGTGCATTCAGTGCCTCAAGGAGGGATACCAGGGACGCCATTTCTTCAAAAAAGTATGCTGCAACGCTGGGTGAAACGCAATCCCGGCAAGTGCATGGGTTTCTTTGTGCTTCGCGGTTCTTGCTGTATTAACAACTGAGGCCACACTTGTGCCACATCAGCATACCATTGGAACCCCGTACCCAGAAAGCAATCGCACATGGTACACCCCCCAATAGTGTCCACCAATGATACGAACCTGCGCACCAATGGTTGTGCGTCTTTCTGATTACACCCACGCCCCAACCGTGACTCCGTCCCTCGTCGGAACGCGGGCGTGCCACGTACATGTAACTTGCAACACCAAACCGCGCCCCCCAGGGGGGTTTGCAGTTTCACTCAGTGCGCAATACAGCATACCCCATCGTCTCGCATAAGTTAAGTACACTCACCATTCAAAGAAACTAGAGTGTTCAAATAACAACTACAAAGATCGCATAAGCATGTAGACACCATGGCACTACAGTTGCGGTCATGGCGCTCTATGTGTCGGTCTCTAGATCGCCCAAGTGACAACCCGTCTTTCATCATGCGACTAGGGCGTGTAAGTCTACAGTTTGAGTAGCCAGCTGTGAAAATAACTACAGCATATGCACACCACAACCCTCAAACGCCTCCTCACACCCCCACCTCAAAATCACTCACACAGAAGAAACTTGTTCAGCAGCAACACTGCAGGGTTGCTGAAAGAGCGGCAAATGTGCACAACTCGCAGAATGCTCTCCACCTCGATCACTGCGTGCCTTGTGTCCTTGCGTGACGGTGTCAACTGCACGCAAGTGGTGAGGGGGCATATGCCTGCCCTCTCATACCACCGCACGTACACAAACCCCTTCCGGTCGCCCTCTGTTGTCGCTACCTTGAATATACACAGCGCCTTCGCATACCACTCCTCCTTCTTGCCTGACTTCACTGCAAAGTCAGTGAACCACTTCTCCTTGGGGCTTGCCTTGATGAACGCCCCCTTGGGGACCAGTGCTCCGCCTTTGTTGCGCGGAATCGCCACCGCGGTGTGGGCCTGCATGAGTGGGGCATTGGGATAAGGAGCAAGATCGGGTGTATACTCAATACGCACACATACAGAGCCTAAGCACTCAACAACAGCAACCTTGGTGGAGGATACACTTGCGCATGTGTACACACCACGACCTCAGATGTGGTGATCTTGGCAGCCACCATGCTGCCTGGTAGCGCATCCATGAGGTCGCCAAGTGCCTTACGGTAGGTACCCATCACCGTATCTCCCTCCTCCGCCGGCCGCATTGTGAGTCCCTTCCTCGTGAGCACGGGCTTCATCGTCTCAACAGCCTGCAGGTGTGGAAGGCAATGGGTATGTCGCGATCGTGTCCCCAGACAAGTCACGCGGTGTTGATGTGTCCAACAATCATACGGTCATGCAAGGGATATGCTACGCACAGTCTCACCTCGCGCAGCGCCGTCACATACTCACGCCCGCCACCCGCGTCCTGTGCCACCTCCCTGCAGATCTCTCTCTGCACCTCCTCCTCCACGATGCGTCGGGGGATGTCCTTCCAGTTGCTGCCCCTGACCGGGATCTTGACCGTCCCCTTGTGGGTATGCTCCCACATCTCCGTGCTATAGTGGTGCGGCATTCCGCGCATGATCACATTGTCCACCATGTGGACAATCATGTGAATCTTTGGAAAGCGCCAATGCGATGCATGATCCGGATACGCCTGCGGCAAAATCTCGACCAGCCTGTGGATCATGCCACGTCCTGTCGGAAAAAAGAACTCGCAAATCAAAGATGCGGTCAGTGACAGCAAGCACCCAACTCTGCGGCCAACATTGGCATGCAACGTCCACTATACCTACGCCCAGATTATACTCCATACTTGATGGCGTGTCCACGGGCGATGGCGAGAGTGGAGTCCGTGTGTCCGCTGAGACCCAGAAACGCCTTGTAGAAGGTTGCGTACATCCTGAACGCACGCACGCGGAGCGCAGCCAGGTCTCCCGCCTCTCCTGCTTGCAGCGCAGACTTGTCGGCCACCAGAATTGGCATCACTTGCATCATGCTGCGGTGTTCGAAGGCTGCGTAGTTGGCCCCACTCATGAAGTAGGAACTGCCTCTGGGTAGACGCAATATAACACTTGGTGTCTCTCCTTTGGTTGTCTTCTTGCGCCTGGAGGGGTGGAGGGCCCGGGAAGGGGTGCTCTCAGGGATTAACATTGGACCTCCCTGTGTAACCCTAAACACATGCATTCACTTCACATCGTGCTCATGTCATTCTGTTCTATGTTCCGCCCATATCCCAGTTTACAATGCGACTAACCTCTCGACTTCTCGCCTCTCTGGCTTGGAAAGAACAGCGATGTGGTTCTGCAGCAAGTGCAGGGCCATCCCAGAGTCCAGCACGTGCATGATGTCCGCGACAGTAGCACCAAATGGGTTGCCCCACTCAGTGTCCAAGAAATTCCACCACGATAACACACACTGCAGGGTGGTGCAAGTAGGATGAGAGGGGTTCCCGTCATACGGTACGATGGCGGGCTTATCATTAGATTGCCACCATCAATGCGTACTACACACACATACCTCCACTGGATGGGCTGACCACTCGGACAGAATCGCTTCAGCATCTTTCACAGTCTTGCACGCAAGCATGTTGCGCAACACATGCATCTCGGAGTCTACGGTCCTCGGCGTGGCCTTATGCTCCAAGTCTCCAAGGAGGTCTTCCGATACGTAGCATGTGCAACAGGGCCTCTTGGTGCCTGTTTGCATCGTCGCGGTGACGCGGCACTGTTCGATGAAGTCGCCAGGGTAACTAAAGAAGCATGGGACGGCCTTCACAGGCTCCCCCTGTGGATCAGTGACATAGAACACCCTTAATGGAGCGTTGGGCCGAGAGGGATGTAAAAGAAGGAAATAGGTGGACAGGACATTGTTTGACCAAAAGGCTGGCGGCGGAAGTACGATGCGCAGCACATGCAGCAAAATCCGGAGTAGGTGCATATCTTGAAGACTCTCGCGTGAGGGGCCCGAGAATGATCCGAATTGCCTCCTGAAACACTCTTGCTTTCTCGGTAGAAGTTGCCCACTCGAGGGGGAATGGCAACACTGCAGCCAGAACATGGCCAGGTTCCGTCTTGCGCAACTCCTCAGGTATGTTGAACAGTGTTATGAGGACGGGCCACGCCTGCCTGCGCTCATTGCATGTTGCGTTGGTGCCGTCGCTGTAGACAATGACGCCAATCACCCAGGCTGATGGGTCGTTCAACTCCTTCTGCCACATACAAACTCGTGCTCTTGAGTACGTCTGCCAAAACATCAGCGCAGCGGGGCATGTCCTCTGGAGAATCATCGCGTACCTGAGCCTCTTCCGGCCATTTTGCCGTCTCAGGGCCGGAGTAAATCTGCTCGTTTGTGTTGGGGTCAACAACAATCCGTGGCTTTGTAACGAACCCCTTGACGCCGCCAAAGATGCGCACGAGCTTCTTCACGAGCTGCATAGGAGTCAAAGCTTGCTATGAGTGCGTGTACCATCAACATCAGTATGCAGCACCCCCTCAGGACGCATATTACGCTCATAACATATTGCACGTACCTCCTCCGTGTTCCGATAATGCAGGGGGAGCTTCTGTGTTTGTCCGCGAGGCCCTCTGACCACTATCTCCTCGCACAGCCACGGTATCATGTCTGGCAGCGCCCTGGCTTCCCCCCATCGCCTCACGTCAAGCCAATTGCGCCACCGACGCAATGCACGCAGGTTGAATCGCGGATTTCTGAAGATATGCAGCAGTCGGTTGACCTCGCGCCGCGAGAGGTTTGCGTCCCTAATGAACAGATATATTGCGGTGAGAGTGTCAAAGATCTCCCCGTCCGAACTCTGCTCACTACTGGTAAAATGGTCGTCATCATCACTAGCTTCTACCTCGGCGGCTATAAGAGCTGCTGGTCTCTTCTCCGCCGTCCTCTCGCTGGTGCCAGCGCTGGCGGCAGTGGCGGCGGGTGTACAGGCAGGGATGCGGAAAAACGCCTGACGGGCCTCCAGATATGCCTCTGCGAGGAGGACTCTACCACGACCGAGAATCGCCTCCTTGCATGCCGCGCTTCTAGCCAAGTGCGACTGCAGCCTGTTGTCGTCACGAAACGTTTTTCTGCACCCCCCGCACACGTTGCCACCCATGATACCACCGCAAACCCTAACTTTGGGTCATCAGAGATAGTATACCTTTGCGCAAAAGAAATCCGCACTCACTGTGTGCACGTTATAAACGCATGACCTGTTTGTATACAGGTCATGCTGTCTAACATATGCGAGTCATTTGTTGAAATCATCGAGTACACTGGTCGGCTAGGTCGGATGTGGTTATCGGATCCCATGCGGGTCAATGACTCTCGCTAGGAATCACGTAAGCCTAGAACACAAACAAAATGCAATGTGCGTACATCGTATTCATTCATGGCGAATACGTGAAGTGCATGCCATGACATGATGTGCATGTCACGGTGACGCGACAAATGGCATGCACTTACGAGTTCGCGCCACAAGTACTTCAGATCCACACATCGTCATCAACGCCCCCTCTCACCCTCGATGTCCTGCCAAAACGTCCCCTCTAAAGTGTGAGGTTGAATCAACCTTCTTTTCATAGGACGGACACTCCAGCATACTCCCTCATTACCTCTGCGCAATTTTCCTTGAGCTTGACCGATGATCGTAGACATTTCTCCTCTTAGGCGCGCCCGCGACAAGCAGTGTGCTTCCAAGGGCAGATCCACGCGCGATGCTAAGGAGGGCAACGCAGGGGGCGACGAAGACGTGACGGATGTCAGTACTATTGCGCACTCCCTCCGTAGCGGAAGGAGGCAATCGACCAGCGGCAACACAGCTCTTAAAGAAGGCATCGACTCGGCCGGCAGCAAACTCCTAGCCCAGCAGTACCAGACGAAGCTGGAGACGGAGACGGAACTTCCCGAGCCGCATGATCTAGTCTATCGCTTACAGACTGCCAAGCAACCACAACAGATGGAGCAAATGACGCTGTTCAACGCGGATGGCATTGGTTGTGTCGTGGAGGCGTCAGACATCATAACCATCGCTGACGGGAAGTGTGTCACCGACGCGATCGTGGACTTCCACAACGTGTGAGCGATTTCGTCACATGATTGTCATGGCCTGCCTTGTGTCCATGATTGTCACCCGTTCCCTCACTGGACAATTGCCTGACTGCGCGCAGACTGGTGAGCATCCGTCAACCCACTACGCCCAACGGCACTTCTTGGGCCGCTGTCGACAGCAAGGCTTTCGACTACGTGAACACTTTCGGCAAGCCATACTCTATGGGCAACGGGTCCAGAGTTTTTGACGTTGACTTCTTGGCCATTCCCGTCTTCAAGAGGTGCGTGCTGTTGATTGAACGCTTTGGTTTTCATTCATGGTGGCACGAGTCGCTGCAATAATATGACGCGCGTGCCTGTTTTATGCAATATGTTGCAGCTCACACTACTCGCTTATGATAGTTCCGTGCCCTAAGCGACTGCTGGGAGGAACGTCTGAGGAAGTGACTGGACCTCTGGAACTGATTCTTCTTGACAGTTATGGCACGCACCGTGACGACCCTACGGTGTTTGATGGCGTCAAACGGTAAGTTGCTGCATGTTTTTGTGGCCGTGTTAGTAAATTCGACAATGCACTACGAGAGTGTCTGACCAAATGTCCGGATTTCTTGCGTTTCAGATTATTGGAACTAACCGCCAAGGCCCTACACCCTCAGTGTGACGCAACGAATCTTGTGAACACACTGAGAGATGCGAAGCCGCTTCCCATGAAGGTGGGTCCTGCTCTCCAAACTGAGATGTGTTGACACACTATGTCAGCGTGTGGTAACGGCATGTTGTGGCCTCTAACGTGCGTGCAGAAACATAAGGTGCAGCAGCAGGACAACAAACACGACTGTGGCATTTTTGTATGCCACTATTTGAAAGTCCTTGTGGATACTGATTTCAAGAATTTGCGTTTGTACCTGTACCTGGAGGGCATCACCGCGACGGAGTTCCGGCGCGGCATGCGGGCCGACCTATGCATGCATGCGGCTTCTGATCTTATACCGGCGCTGGTGAAGATGGGTGTGGTCGTACCTTATCAACCCGCGGCTAGGGTCACTAAGCATGGAGCCGTCGTGGATTCTGGAGCGGAGGATCACAACACAAAGCTGACACGGATGCAGGTGGAGCACTACGGCATGAAGAGGGATCTTGCGATCTGGAAAGCAGCAGTCACCGCCGTTGGAGCGGCGATGGGTTACAGTGTCGATCAGCTCCTTGTAGGAGCTGCACACGTCTTGCAGGCGCAAGGTTCTAAAGGGGGCGCGGCGACACCTGGGGGCAGCCGGTCCACTGCACCCTCCACCCCCAACCCCCGTGTAGCAGCGCGGCCTTGCACTACCGATAGCTCCGGTTCCAAAGGAGGATCTGCTGAGAGCGTAGCACTGGACGATGCAGGCAATGGCACAGTCGAGCTAGGGGTGGTTCATCCCAGCCCCTGCGCGCTACGCGTGCTTGCCGCTCCGAGGTGGTCGATAAACGGCACAGAGGGAAGTATGCACGTCATGCACTAGGCAGAGCCGGCGGTGGCTCATGCATGTGGAGCAAGGCCCGTGGTGCTGGCTATGCCGGCAAAGAGGAAACAAGAAGACCCGCATGCGTCGGGGGCGGATGCCGAGGGCGGCGCTACTGCTTGCAAGAGCAAGGGTAAGGGACAGGGTCGTAGTTCACAGTACAAGGGTGCGCGCAGGGAGAAGCACAGTAGGTGGAGCGCCAAGATTCTGTTCCGAGAGAAGAATAAGAAGAAGCGGACGCAGATGAGGCTGGGTGCGTACAATAAGGAGCTGGAGGCTGCCACGGCGTACGCAACAGCGGTGCACGTGGTCAAAGATGGTAAGCGCGTGTCAGGCACAATGGAGCTGACGGATGAGGAGAAGGGTATGCTGGAGGGGTGCACGCTGGCAGCTTTCAAGCGGCTGGTTAGGAGCCGTCAGTGGTTCCGATGGCAGGAGTGGGAGACGGCACTAGTGTGAGAAAACTAGAACGAGGAATGAATGACTAAGTGAAAGTTGGGTACAAAGATAAACCCCTAGAAAGATGTACCCCATATGTGCCACCCCACTATAGCCTACAATAGCTATGTCATATAAATCTGACACACCCCCATAGGCAAAGCGGGGGAGAACAAGGGGTCACAAGACCAGTCAAGCAAAGCAAAGCAAAGCAAGCTCAGGGTGGATCACAACGTCACCACACATTCTGAGCACAAGGTCAAGGCCACAAGGCCAGTTCACATGCAGGAGTACACATATATATAAAAGGCTAGACAAGCAAGAGCAGGCGTATATATATATGTAACAGTACAAGCAAGGTCAAGAGGTGAGCAAGTGAGGCAAGGCAGGCACAAGACCCAGCTGAGTACAGAAGCACTCATGATCACAAAGCGCAAGCGTTTTGGTGAAGATATCAGCGGTGTTGGCCTCAGAGGCCACGTACGCAAGACGCAGCTGACCACACTGTTGTAGCTCACGAGCAAGGAAATAGCGAAGAGCAATGTGCTTCGTTCTGTGCTCCAGTCTCTGCTCTCGACACAAGGCCAGCATGGCCTTGTTGTCTACGTACAGCACTGGAGGAGAACGAGGCGGCTCTACGAGGTCAGACAGCAGGTAGGTGAGCCAACAAAGCTCCTGTGTAGCCATGGCCCCGGCGTAGATCTCAGCCTCACAATTGGAGCCAAGAACAGAAGACGAGCGGGCACGAAACAGAGCCAGAGTGAGGGTGTAACCGTGTGACGACCGCTGCGTAGCCTGGTCGTTGGCCCAAGAAGCGTCTGCGTGCCCAGTGAGGACCACTGGACTCTGCCCTCCAAGCACAAGCCCCATGCCCAACGTATTGCGCAAGTAGCGCAACACCCTCTTCGCTGCAGCCATGTGCTCTGGTCGGTGTCTCCCAGGAGCAACATAGCGTGCCAAGATGTTAAGAGGGTATGCAAGGTCAGGTTGTGTGCAGGTCATCAGGTACATGAGGCAGCCAACAAGCTTTGGGTACGGGCCACTTGACTCTACGGACTCATCCGAAGGCAGAGCTGAGAGGGAGTGGCGCGTAGGCAGAGGAGTGGCGTGAGGCGAGGAGTACGTGAAGCGGAAGCGCTGAAGGACCTGCTGCACCATGTGTGACTCAGTCAGGGTAATGGTGCGGCGTGCTCTGTCCCGGGTGATCTGCAAGCCAAGGTAGCTGCGCAGTTCACCCAGGTCTGTGCACGTGTGTCTCTTCTGCAGCTCGGACTTCACGTGGGCGAGTCCAGCAGTGTCAGCTGTGGCAAAGACCAAGTCGTCGACGTACACGAGGATGTAGAACGGCGGCAAAGAAGTGTCGGTGCGCAGAAACAGCAACGGGTCGGCAGTAGAGGGAGCAAACCCAAGAGCCGCAAGCGTAGTCCTCATTGTGTCATGCCACTCACGCGGTGCCTGGCAGAGACCGTAGACTGGCCGCCGGAGGCTCCACTGGGTGCCAAGAGGAAAAGTCCCAGTGAAGCCAGGTGGGCGGCGCAGCTAGATGTCCTCGTGTAGGCTACCCTGCAAGAAAGCAGTGCTGAAGTCAAGAGAGTGCAGCTCGTAGTCGCGCTGAGCGGCTATGTGCAGTAGCACCCAAAGAGTGGTCATCTTCGGGGTGGGAGAGAAGGTCTGAAAGTAGTGAACTCCCTGTTGCTGACTGAAGCCACGAGCCACGTACCGCGCCTTGAAGACAGGCGGAGAACCCAGCGGCTGCTTCACCCTGAAGATCCACATGCCACTGACGATGTTTGCCCCAGGCGGGGGAACCTCGTCAACGTAGGTGCCTGTGGACTTCCAAGAAGCCATCTCTGCGTCCATAGCTGCCTGCCACTAAGTGGAGTAGGGACCCTCTATCGCCTCCGCGTAAGAGTGCGCAGTCGGGATGTCAAGTGCATCCGGGTCTCCCTCAGGGGTAAGCAGTACGGACACAAGATGAGGTGAAGCAGCAGCCAGACACTGGAACTCCTCCTGCCTGTCCTCAAGGACGTCCGTGCCAAGGGCACACTCACCCCTGACGGATGGAGGACAAACAGACGCAGACTTAGCAATAAGACTAGCAGCGTAGTCTAGGCGACAGCAAGCAGCAAAGTCGACGAGCTCAGCAACCAGGGCAGACGCAACAGTGGACTCAAAGGAAGGGTCAGTGACGACAGTAGCAAGGAGACGCGTGACAGTCGGATTGACAGCACGAAGAGAGTCCGACTCTGGGTCGGCAAGAGAAGGAAGAGAGGACTCAGGAGGAGAAGGCAAAGGGGCACGCACAGGAGCAGTGGACGGACGCATAGACATCCGGTGCGTGCCAGGGACAGGAGGAGGACGCTGACGCAAACCGCGACTGGCGAGAAGTGAGAATGGATGAATGAACTATGAAAGATTCGGGTACAAGTACTAACCCTAATTGGGTTGTACCCCATATGGGCTACCCCACTACAGCCTACACAAATGTACAAGCTATAATGTTCTGACACACCCCCATATGCAAAGTGGGGGAGAACAAGCGGTCACAAGACCAGTCAAGCAAAGCAAAACAAAGCAAGCTCAGGGTGGATCACAAAGTCACCACACAGTCCGAGCACAAGAGTAGGGCCACAAGGCCAGTTTACATGCAAGAACATATATATAAAGGTAAAACAAGCAAGGGCAGGTATAGAAAGAGTACAGTACAAACAAGATCAAGAAGTGAGCAAGTGAGGCCAGGTAGGCACAAGACCTAGCACAGTACAGAAACGCTGATGATCACAAGGCGGAAGGGCCTTGGTGAAGATATCAGCAGTTTTGGCCTCAGAGGCCACGTAGGTGAGGCGGAGCTGACCACGCTGCTGCAGCTCACAAGACAGGAAGTAGCGGAGAGCAATGTGCTTCGTCCTGTGCTCCAGTCTGTGCTTTGACACAAGGCCAGCAAGGGACCCTCGATCGCCTCAGCGTACGATCGATGAGTCGGGATGTCTGGTGCATCCGGGTCTCCCTCAGGGGCAATCAGCGTGGACACGAGATGGGGCAAAGCAGCCGCAAAGCACTAGAACTCCTCCTGCCTGTCCTCAAGGACGTCCGTGCTAAAAGCACACTCACCCCCGACGGACGGAGGACAGTCAGACTTAGGCTCAGCAACAAGACTGGCAGCGTAGTCTAGACGACATCGAGCAGCGTAGTTGACAAGCTCAGGAACTAGAGCAGACGCAGCAGTGGACTCAAAGGTAGGGTCAGTGACAACAGTAGCAAGAAGGCGCGTGACCGAAGGACTAGCAGCACGAAGGGAGTCGGACTCCGGGCCAGCAAGACAAGGAAGAGAAGACTGTGGAGGAGACGGCAAAGGGACACGCAGAGGAGCAGTGGACGGACGCAGTGCCATCTGGTGTATGCCGGGGACTGGAGGAGGACGCGGACGCATAGTACGACCACTAGTGCTAGCAGCACAAACAGGCGACGTAGGACGAGACGCAGGCTCATGACGCTCAGCAAGACCTCCAGTAGGACCAGTGTAGGGAGAAGGAGAAGGGAGCGGCGAGGCAGGCTGTAACTGTGACTGCGACTGGACAGGCTGTGGACACTCTAAGGGAGGAGCAGGACCAGGAGAGGGCGGGAGACCAAGAACCTGCTCTAGGAGCGGAACGAAGTACGGCCGCGGCCGCTCAGCCCCTCTAGAACCAGCAGGGACTGTTTCAGTACCTCTAGTGGCAGCACCAGCGCCAGCAAAACCTCCAGCTCCAACAGCGCCAACTCCAGTACCCTCAGAAGCATCAGCGCCAGCAGCACCGCCAGCGCCAACACCCCCAGCAGCTCCAGCTCCAACAGCACCAACTCCGGTAGGACCGTCAGCACCAGCTGCCTCAGCAGCACCCCCAAACGCACCAGCACCAGTAGAAACACCAGCGCCAACACCCCCAGCAGCTCCACCTCCAGCAGCACCAGCACCGACAGCAGCTCCAGCAGCACGTCGCCAGCGGCGGGCAAACCACTCGCGCAGCTCCTGTGGAGAGAGCGGCTCCCGCCTCGACAAAGCACCGCCGGCGGCCACACGAGCAGACCTAGCACCCCCAGGCTCCGCACCCCCAGGCTCAGCACCCCCAGACTCTGCACCCCCAGGCTCAGCACCCCCAATCTCAGCACCCCCAGTCTCAGCACCCCCAGACCCGGCACCCGCAGACCCGGCAACCGCAGGCTCAGCACCTCTAGCAGCACCAGAGTCAACAGCTACCTCGACAGGCTCGACTGCGTCTACCTGGGACACACCTGAAGGGGCAGGACCCTGAGGAGGGAGGGGGTCTACCTAGGTAGCACCTGGTGCAAGGAAGAGCGGCGGCGGGGGGAGGGGCGCAGTGCGGTAGGTCAAGAGACGGTATTAAGGCAACGACTCATCGAAGGTGACGTCCTGGGAGGACAGAACACGGCGCGTGGTGGGGTGGTAAAACCGCCAGCCATGCGCGTCAGGGGGGAAGCCAAGGAAGACGCAAGGAACAGCACGGGGGGACAGCTTGTCTGCAGACAAGTCGCGGACAAACGCTCGAGATCCCCAGACCCGAAACGCAGACGCATCGCCAACCTTCCCTGTCCACCGCAAGGCGGGGGAGGTCTCTGGCAAGGAGACCCGGGGCTGAAGGTTGAGCTGATGCGCGGGGTACTGAACCGTAGACGGCCACAGAAAGTGGGGGGCACCTGCATGCATCATGGACGTACGAGCGACGTCCATGACCATGCCAATGCGGCGCTCAGCAATCCCATTTTGCTGTGGAGAGGCCGGAAGCGTGAAGGTCTGACGGATGCCCTGTGCACGACAGAAGGCTCCCAGACGGGCAGAGGAAAACTCCCCGCCTCTGTCAGAGTGCAGACGCAGAACAAGAAAGTCCGAGCCGAAACTCTCTCTCAACTGGAGACGAGCTGCGCGGATCCAGTCGATCAACACCTCAGTGACGTCACCCTTGCTGCGCAAGGGGAAGACTGTGGTGTAACGCGAGTAGTCGTCAACCACCAGCAGAAAGTAC